TTCAAATCCGACGATTATTAACACTTTATTACAGAATAGTGTTAAATACCCCCTAATCAAGCTGGCTCTATATCCCTATTTTGTGCATAGGCGGACATTATTGCCAATATAATTTTTTCCTTTGTCGGGGGGGGGGGGGGGGGGGGGGGTTCGCATTATTTGTAATTAATTTCTATGAGAACAAAATTGACATCAATTGACAGAGCTGGGGCTGTTTTGATTCCCCCCCCCCCCCCCCCCCGATAATGTGCAGCTGTTCTGACTTTGTCACAAAAAGTATGTTTGGGTTTAATACTCGATTAGGATTACCTCAAACGGAACATCAAAAGTCCTACATGTACACATGTTCCATGTTGAAGAGTGACACATCATATACAGACACTGTCCAGAAGATATTCCATCTCCGAAGGTGCTCCAATTATTAATTAAAATTGAAAAGAGGGTTGTTTCTTGATCATTATTTTGTTTTTATAATAGGCTTACTGCTCAATGCATTACAATGCTTCTCCCATGAAAGTCATATAACACATTTTATAATCTTGAAAAAGTTATTAAATCATTCAAATAAAATATGTCAACTTCTGATCACAGCATTTTGAGATCGAGGTAACCATGGTAACAAATTAAAGCCAAGTGGCATACGTTCATGTAGGGTCCCTGATTTTTACATTTCAAAAGTTATAATTGACGCATAAGTATTAAACAAATGTTATATTTTAAAACTATTACAACTATTAAACACCATCGCTAAACAAGGCTTACTAAAGGTGAATTGAGTAAACACAAAAAAATGCGTCTATAAATTTGTGCAATCAAAAAATTAAGGCTAAGGCCAAAAAAAAAGTCTCCGGTTTCTGGTATGGAGCTTGTCCAAAAAGTGGTGCGGCGACGCGGCTTTTTTTTTTTTTTTACCTGTTTTTTTTTGCTTCAAATGTCGGCTGATGACTGCAAATGGTGCCCGACTAAACTTAGTGCAAATATATGGGAGTCCAGAGAGGCCACATACATGTAAAGCTTATTCTCCATTATAACCCCATCTAAAAACACGTTAAAATTGTGCAGCAGCAGGATTCCAGTCAAACCAGTGAGTTTGGCGGTTTTGAGACATCATCTTTTATTGAAAAAAAAACTTTTTCATTTTGCCGACGCGCATGGCTACGGCGACGCGCGCGCATACCAGAAACCGGAGACTTTTTTTTTTTGGCCTAATGATTCGCTGATAACGGGAAGGGGTGAAAAACCTGCAAAAAACTTGTGGGAGAAACACGTGGAAAATCCCATCCAGTTCCTTATTTCTATGGCAACTGAGTTTGTCAACTCCGTAGATCAGCACAGTCATTGAAAATGATAGATCAGTCATTGAAAAATGATAAAGACGATGGAAATGCTGACATGTTTGCAGGAATATTACTGACTGAACATTCGATCTGTAGTTCAGATTTGAATGGCACAAAGGTGCATTTCCCGGGATCGCATTAAAAAAAAATCACATTGCATGCGCCCGTTAAAAATGCAGCATTTGGCTGGCAGGCTTTTTGCATACTGCTGACATCCGCAGAAGTGTGCATGGTGTGTCATTCCATTTAAGATTAATCAGCCACACCTGGCCGCAGTCTTCGCCGTCAGCATTATTTGGCTCTCCGGGGTACCACTGACTAAGGCTGTCGACATCTAGCGTGGTTGCACCCTCCTTGCACACCCAGACGCCTGTAAGAGGAAAGTGGATACAGTATAGTCGTGTTTCCTAACGTGGCGCACTTTGAAGCTTACCAGATTTTCTTCGTGTAGTGTTGCCAAACCTCTTTGTTGACAAACCTCAAATTCATGCAGTAAAATACTGGTTCTTTTAACCTTATTAATGCTTGCTATTTAACCTCGGTGAACAACTTCAGTTTCATAAAATTTAATCCGAAATTCAAAAACGGTGGCGTCCGGAAATTGGGCACAAATTGGCGGAGTGTTCCCTAACGTGGCGCACTTGAATAAATCTCGGAAAATTCCAAATTAACATTTAAGAATTTCTGTAAACTTGATAAATTCGGATAAATAATTATTATCCCTACTTACATACCCAGCCAGATGTTTGTCAGAAAATTAATTTCTTATTTGTCGGGGGATTTTCAAAGGGTTCACTTTGCGCTTGAAAATAAAGTCGGAAAATCACGCCAAAATAAATTTTTCTTCTAGCTTTGTTACGGGTAAATAAACTCGCGATTTATGAACAGGAGTGTTTAGAACTTGATGAAATTTCTCTTTCCGTGAAATTTCAGTTAAAACTTTTGCTGTAGGTAGGTGCTACAGGCGAAAAATCAAAGTGCGCCGCGTTAGGGGCCGCGCCACGTTAGGGTACATCAACAATATATGTGATGCGATCAAGCTACATGAGTCGTTTGTCGACCCTGGTCAATTTTTTTTTATTACAGATTGGAAAAGAGCACAATCTCAGCATTACTGCTGTGAAAGCCGCATGCTGATACCATCTTTAGTTCAAAAATTATGGAAGTTGAAACACCAAGAGATGTGATGAAGTGATGTGATGAAGTGGCCCTGTTTTGGCCTGTATCTCCAAATGAAAATTCCTGACAAACGACGCATTTAGCTTGATTGCATCACATATGTACTGTAGTACTAGTAGGCTTGGACTACAGGGTGTCCTCCAATTCAAGCTCAAATTATGTACAATACATTGTACAATTTCAATTAATTCAATGAAAGAAAAGCAAACTCACCTTCCTGTTGAATATCGTTGCAGTTGATCCAGAAACCCGCATACACATTGTCTTCCTGCGGCAAACTAAAGGTGGCCAAGAATTTAGTCTCACTGTGAGACCGCGGAACGGCCATCACCCCTCCCATCAGAACACACTCCTGCACTGCCTCGGCCCAGGTCAAATCCCCCGCCGTGGCTTTGTAGCATTTGTCCCCCCACTTGTGCCAAGTAGGAGGACACGCCCCTCCAATGGAGACCGCGCATCCGTCAGATCCGGCAGCAAACTCAACTTGAAAGAGAAGTAGTGCAAAAATGAGGCGTGCTGAATCCATGACGGCATGAAACGCACTCAAACCTGGAAAGGGTTTTTCTAAAAAGAACGGCAGCGGTTGTTCCCAGGCGACGGTTGAAAATTTTCAGTTTGAAGCTACATGTACATATGCACATCGTGTATGGACGCCCACTGATAATATTCACGCACTTTTGAAATTACCAACCGTAATCGGCTCATCCTTTTAAATAATTGGATGACGTCGGAGAAATGTCAGAAATGGCCACCAACCTGTACTATGCTAGCTTTTTTATGAAGTTGGTTCTGTCATGCAGAAACATGCAGATTGGATTTCTCCTAATGAAGCCAGACAGCACTTGCTTTATAACAACCCTACAAAATGTACATTTCCAATTCATTTGTGCCCAATACAACGACAGCTGACTGTTTTTTATTGGCTACTTAGAATAAGCTTAATCAGGTGTAATGCCTCACACAGTGACACAGGATCTAGGAGAGCCTCCTGTCTAAGGTCTTGCAAGAACAATTGCTTTGTAGCATTTATCCCCCCACTTGTGCTAAGTAGGAGGACACGCCCCTCCAATGGAGACCACGCATCCGTCGTATCTGGCAGCAAACTCAACTTGAAAGAGAAGCAGTGCGAAAATGAGGCGTGCTGATTCCATGATGCATTAAAACCCGAAAAATGAAACGCACTGAAACCAGAAGTGTTTTATCTCAAAAGTGCGGCGGTTGTTTCCAAGAACTTCCAAGCCACTGTTGAGATATGTCCGTTTGAAGCTACACATGTACATGTACATTGTGTATGAATGCCCACTGATGATATTTATGCACTTTTGGAAATTACATGCTGTAGTCAGTACATTCTTTTAGGTAATTGGATGATGTCGGAGAAAATGTCAGAAATGGCCACTACGTACTAGGTTTTTTTGGTTGGTTCTGCCATGCAGAAACATGCATACTGTGGAATTCTTCACTTCCACTTCATTTGTACCCATCACTACGAGAGCTGTCTTTGTTTTTTATTGGCTACTTACAATAAGCTTAATCAGGCGGAATGGCTCACACAGAGGCGCAGGACAGCCGTCTGTTTATAGGAAGATTTTGCTCTTCACCAATTTTTTTTTTATCAACGCTGTATCCTGGTTGTGATCTAAGGGCTTGCAAGAAAAAGTTCACAATCTCGGGGGGGGGGGGGGGGGGGGGGGGGAGATATATCCCCCCCCCCCCCCACACACACTTTTTGACCAGGTGGGGGATGTGCCATCAGATCATCCCCCATAGAATTTTGGTTGGTGAGAAACAAAAAATGCACATTTTAAGGTTATTTTCTAACTTTGCAACAGCCCAAAACTGTTAAATACCACTGACAAACAGAACAAACAGCACAAAAGTTTTAAATGTACCATCTTGATGCATTGTACGTAAGTGCGCCAGTTTTCGGTACATTTTTAACCTAAACAGCACCCCCTAGTGCCTAAATGGAGGATTTTGCAGGATTGCGGCCACATGTATGGCAAAAATGCTGGTTTGTTGTTTTGCACAATACCTATTTTGAGCAAAATTTTGTTTAAAAAAAAAGAAACAAGAAATCGCACACAGGGCAAGTGATCCCATTACCGTTAAACACAATTGCCCATTTATCAAGAAAGTGTCGTTGCTAAAATGTGGTCACCGTTTTGAGGAATTTCCCCATCTGGACCTGGTGGAATTTGTGGTAGAATTCTAAAAAGATGTGTTCTGCTCCTTTTTTCATACTTTTTTTTTAAATTAATTTTTATTGTGTACTTTAGATGCATTTTTACTTTTGGTATCCACCGTGGTTTTTTTTTTTTTTTTTGTGTTTTAATGACTGGAAAGAATTTGTTTGTGTTCTCATAATGAAAATGAATGAATGAATGACCACCCCCAAACTGACATGGGTTTTTCTTTCATGTATTCTTTTTTCCAATGGGGAAAAAGTAATAAATTCTTGTTTTTCTCTCTGTTTTGTTGCAGAAGCCCACAGAGCTAGCTGAAGATAGTGATGATGATGAGTCTGATACTGGCTCTGAGTCAATGCTGCTGGACTCACAGAATGCTAAGGACAAGGCGCAGCCAGTCAAGGTATAATGGAATCCGGTGACCAGAATTTAAAGCTTTTACTGCGGTGGTGTCACGCTTACGTGCATGCTGCATGCATTCTTAAAGACAAAGCACGCATGCATTTTGGTATTCCTATTGGTCGAAGGAGTCTGAAGGTGTGTGTACTACCCGAGCGCGACTCGCGCAAACCTTGCTCCACCGCAGAAAATGGCTGCCGCCATATTTGTCTATAGTCAACTATTGTCAGCTGGTCAAAACATCTTTTCATTTAGCATGTGGTCTCAGGGGTGACTAGTGCATGAAGCACTCGCTACTCACCACTGTGGCTCGGGTTCGATTCCCGGCTGGGGTCACATGTGAGTAGAGTTGTTGGTTGATTCTCTCCTGTGCCACAAGGGTTTTTCTCCCAGTTCTCTGGTTTCTCCCCTCCGCAAAAAAAATCAACACTTTCAATCTCTGGTTGTGCTCCGTGGTCAGACATGGGTCGTTTTGTGGCTGCCTTTAAGGTGCCTTTACATGCCTTCGGCTCGACCACATTGTAGCTGTTTCCTTCACAATTCAGCCCTGCGCTGCGAGTAAGGATGATTGGCCCCTAATACCATTCAGCACTCCAGACGCCAGAACCCTTCAAGTTTATGAAAATGGATCTGTGAACGAGATGCATGTAAGGAAGTTCCTGGATGTACGAGCCAACCTACATGTAGGCCTATAAGATTTTCATGAGAACCCAAATAGTCCTATTCCCAATTCAATCTTAATCAAAATTTATTTTAAAAAAAGCAAATGCCAATCCAATTTCCACAAACAACTTAACAGTCCAATTTCCACCAAAAAATCTTAACAATCCTTGACTAAAAAACAATGAGGTATCCAGACACCACTTCTTACGGTAGGTTGTGTACAAAGTCTATGGAGAGTTGAGTGCATTCATGTCTTTTCAAAATTTTGCAATGACTGACCTTCATTGAGATAAAATATGATGACAAAAGTGGCGACAGGATGCAACGTTCATTCCCTTCAGGAAGACAATATAATGAGGGCATGTTTGCCCTCAAATGAATCCACTTGGAACAGAGTTAATCAACTATTCCACTAAATCCCTTTTGATAGTATCATTTATCTCTCTTCCAGGGACCAGACTTAGGGTCCAGTTCCAGCTACGACATCCTGCAGCCAACCCAAGCCCACCAGGACAGGGAGAGCAGGCACACTATTATTCTGGAGACACCGCAACGGGAGGGAGCTACCCTGGTCTTTGCCGAGAGTTCAGATGACAATGCACCTGCCGAAGCAGGTACGGTAATGGTCGGAATTGTTGTCAAGTCCATCACAAGCTCAAGTGCAAGTCAGACATAAGACAAATCACAAGTCAGTCACAAGTTGATAACCAGTGAGGTCAAAAGTTAAGGGATAAAACCCGACAAAGGAAAGTCCTTTGTCAAAGTTCATTCGAGACTAGATGACTTGTAATTGACTTGTGATTGACGTGTGATGGACTTTGTGATATGACTTGTGAGTGACTTGTGATTGACTAGTGATTGACTTGTGTTTGGCTTGTGATTGACTTGTGATTGACTAATGATTGATTTGTGATTGATTTGCGATTGACTTGTGATTGATTTACAATTGACGATGTGATTTGACTTGTAAGTGACTTGTGATTGATTTGCTATTGACTTATGATTGACTTGTGATTGATTTGCAATTGACTTGTGAGTGACTTGTGATTGACTTGTGATTGATTTGTGATTGATTTGCAATTGACTTGTAACTGACTTGTGATTGATTTGTGATTGACTTGTGATTTGACTTATGATTGACATATTGGTACGATTGACTTTTGACTGACTTGTGATTGACTTGTGATTTGACCTGAATTATTTGGGATGCTTTGTAGAGGTGCATCAATTTCAGAAATTCTGGCAATTTCTCTGAAATTGGTGAAAACCTGACATCAAGAACTTCAAATGGGCACACTTTTGTCAATGAAGGTCTGTTAAACAGTCATTGAAAAGGGCAAGATAAACATTTTAGCACCATTTTAAAAACATATATTTTTGATCAGCTGCCCAGAAGAGACTGTTTTTTGACAGAACCCTTTGTTTTTATTCTTTTGTTTTTTTCCCCCTGTGATAGTTAAAGCTGTGGCAGATAGCTCCATTTCTCCAGGGAGTATAGCAGAGACACCAGCCACCAAGCCCTCAGCTGGTGAGTCATTCCCGCAATTTCATGAAAGTCCCCGCAAAATCACATGTCCTCGCAAGTCCTCACAAGTCTATCACAAGTCCTCACAAGTCCTTCCAAGTCCTCACAGGTCCCCACAAGTCCTCACCAGACCACACAGGCTCTCCCAAGTCCTCAAAAGTACATCACAAATCATCACAAGTTCGCGCAAGTTCTCGCAAGTCCTCGCAAGTCCTCGTAAGTCCATTACAAGTCATCACAAGTCCTCACAGTCCTCATGAGTCCTTGCAAGTCATTGCAAGTTCTCGCAAGTTCTCGCAAGTCCGCAAAGGTCCTCACAAGTCCATCACAAGTTCTCGCAAGTCTATCACAAGTCCCCACAAGTCCTCACAAGTCGTCACAAGTCTAAATCGTCACAAGTCGTCATTTTCTAAATGATGAACACAACCAAACGGCTAATATATAATTTTTGTCTGTTTTTTTCCTGCAGAGAGCACTGTGATTAATGAGTCAGATATTGAAGATGGTAAGTATACAATAATAAAATTACTTGACATTTTTTTCTGCAAAATACATAATTAGCAACCAGTTTATATTGAGATCTCACATCCTTGTGACATTTTTTGTAAGACATTTTAAAACAGACGTTCACCTGTATCAAAGGTCCAGACCCTCTAAATATGGTCAGTATTAAATAATCAGAAATACTAAATTTCGTCAATCTCCAAATGAATGATACCCTTAACCACATTTCAATTTTTGCTTAAGGCCAAATTTTCCAGCCAACTTTTGATAAAAACGCCACAAAACTGATTTGCAAGAGTCATTTCAAAAGTATTTGTACGATATTTCTTGCTGAAACCTCATATGTTTCAATACTCCGGGGTGTGCGCTGTGTAACAATAGGCCGTGTACAACTGCCAATTCAAGATCAACACGCGGTCTGCCTCCACAGACTTCACAGACTTTGTGTGTGTGTACAAAAGGCACGCGGGATTAGCATGTTTAAACGTCAACCGGAGGCGAGTCGAGGCAATCTTGAAGTCTTAACCCGTCAGCCGTGCCTGTGTATAAAAGCAGCCAGTGCGTGTTATCATGTCCTGCGACGCGAACTGGTTAAACGTATTTGATTGATTGATGGCTTTTTGTCATGAATGTTCTTTTCTCAGCTGGAAGATCGAAGCTTTCTGAGCTGGATGTCAGTGCTCTGGCTATGGCTCCCACACAGCCCTATGGAGGCATGGACGAACTGGAGACGCAGGCTTATCCGGCAAACACTGATTCAGATGATGGTAATTAATCACCTAAAGTGCAGCGAAGTGACATGAGGGTCTTCAATAAATTTGGGGTCCTCTTTAGTTCCTGTCTCTGTGACATGTACATCTGATATATCTAGCCTATGGTTATATAATTCAGATGCACTCCTTAACCATTCTACTTTCTGAAGAGTCACAGACAGTCAAAAAATTCTCTTCCCCTGCCATGCCTTTTACACAGGCTAGTCACTAACAGTCAGATCATATTTCAAGCTAGCACTCTGACTTGTCAGATTCAGTCAACAGACAAAAGCAGGCAATTGGTAGGCACAGCTGGCTTGTCAATCACCTACAGTCAAAGCATAGCTGTATCAAGTTACATAAACAGCCACAGCCGGTCAATCCTGCTTTATGTGGGCTGGGAGCTCTTAACTGTTAAAAACAGTCACTCAACTGATTTTGACTGAAAGGAAAACTTTTGTACAGAGTGTATGTTTGCATAAGAGGGTTAATGCAGTCGTCCTCCAAGAGTGATTATGAATAACAAACTGCCAACCCAATTAATATAAAATCATTTGAGGGTAACAGTGATGGGAAAAATGTCACACTTTGGACCCAAAATTTATAGAATGACCCATAAACTCTTCATCACATGCTTTCCCCCTAGAGATGACGAACTTTTGCATCACCTCATTTTGAATTGTTTTTAGTCCTTCTGATGAAGGCAATCAATTATGGGGCAGATTGCGATAACTGGTCTTAAAGTTGTCTATGTGTGTGTAAGATGGTCTTTAACCCTGTGCGTGTAAAAATCATATTCATACCTGAGACAGTTTACCCATTCCTATTGGTCGAGAGGCCGTAATGTCGGTGGTTTTCAACGGTTGGTAAAACACCGGCTGGCTGGTTTTAAACACTTTTCCAGTGTCACATGAAATTTGGACTCCTCTGAAATCTGGTCCTTTAATTAATACCCTTTATTTGGTTGAACATTCACAATCTTCACTTAGGAATGCGCAGTTTTACAAATGAGTCAGTACTCCATTGAACCCTAAATTCACACAACACCAGTACCGCTGCGTTCTGCACCGCTGCGTTCTGCGCCACATCACGCAGTATGCGCCACATCGCGCAGTATGCGCCACATTGCGCAGTATGCGCCACAAGTGCCAATCTCCATATGAGGAGATGTTTACAGCTACTCGTGAGAGGCACATACCGTAACATAGCTAGAGGGGTGTTTAAAAAAACATGAAGTAATATTGTTGAACAAAATCGTTGAAAATTTTGACATGTTTTGACTTTTTGACTCCAAGGTATTTTTGAATGGGAAGAAGTAAAGTGCTTGGCTGGTATTAAACAAGTACGTTTAAAACCTGCTCAGGGGCCCGGTCGCCAATAATGAGCGCCCGGTCGCCAATAATGAGCGCCAATGCCCCTGCGCCGGTTTTAAGCGTACTAAAAACGAGCCAAGCACATATTTATTCCCTTATTAAAATTGGAGGATTCGGGTTTGTTAGGGTTTAAGCCCTGTCAGTTCGTCTATATAAAGTTAGACCATTGCAATGAGCTGATTTTGAGCCAATACCTAGGTTTGCTTTTTGCAAAGAGTTTATCAGCCATTCCATTTATTTATTTATTTATTGTATATTTTTATGCCCACATTTTTCAGATGAGATAAGACAGAGCCTGTTTGATGCACCCACCCAGGCCTTTGCTGTGCCAGAATCGGAGGATGAGATGGAAAGTCACAAGGGAACCAGAAAGAAAAACAAGAGAACAAGTAAGCAGCTAAAACAGAGGATCAGTAACTCTTAATCTCCCTCAATCTGCCTGAATCCAAATCCTAATCTGAAATGGTTATATACCAGTATTGGAGTCAGAATTGCAAGGATTAGCTTTGTTACATAACGCTGTTCTTGACATTTGGGCTTGGTTTCTGTATTTCATTTGAGTACTAGAATGTACATGTACACTTGTGTTTTTAGGTGGAATTGGATTTCGGTGGACTCTGGAATTTTGGATGTGGGTTATGCAAATAGTTCTGGTATGTTGAAAATAATAAAAATAACAATGGTGTTTATACAGGGTGAGTCAAAAAAAAGGAAACCCAAATGTCGGGATCATTTTTTTAAAAGAAGTTCTGCATGTAGAACTTTCAAAATCTAGGATATGAAAGCCCAATTAATCAGCTTTCTTTTAGTATAAGAATCATACAAATCCCTCATGTACTTTTCAAGTAACGGCATTTAAACAAGCATTGTTTTCAAGTTCTGTCCACGGATCACAAAAAACGGTAAATGTTCTTTCATTCAATTCACATACATCCCTATTGTTTTCGTTTCATCAGGCTTTGACACCATTTTTCTGCAGCAGCTCAAAATCAGTGCAATCTGGTCTTCACCATCACAAGTGTCCATTTATACTTCAGACAATTGTAGTAGAGTGTCTTGCTCAAGAACACAAGTACAGTGTTTCTAGTAAGGGTTCGAATTCTTCGTACATGAGTCGAACACCGTTGCCATTGGACCATGGCGCTCCTTAACCACTTATTTTGGAAATTTAAATAATTTGTCTTTCATTTGTTGTCTAGGTGTGGAACCCACTATGATTTTAAATCTTTCAACTGACGATGAGACAAGTCCGGTCAAGAGACCAGCGAGACCCAAACCCTACCCTCAACAAGAGGCTGCGGGGGCCCCTGAAAAGCACCCTCAAGGCTACACCGACGAGGATGGAGAAACGTCAACACTTGCCTACACGGACCTGGCGACCCAGGCCTACTGTGCAGACACGGACGACCAGTCGGACGACGATGCCGACAAATCGAGTAAAGAGCGCCCTCAAGCTCGGGACACGAGCGAGAACGACGACGAGCCCACGCTTGCGTTTCCCGACCTGGCCACCCAAGCCTTCTGCACCGAAACCGACGAGCAGTCCGATGAAGATGATGAGTTCGGAATCAGGTCGAAGCGCCGGGCAGTGCAGACATTGGACCCGACTGTCAAGTACGACATGCAGGAAGAGAGTCCGGATGCCGGACCTGATCAGGGGGAAACTGATAGCGACGCAGATGTGCAGAAACGCAGGGTCGTTGAGCCTACATTAAAGTACGATATGGATGTAGAGGACGATGACAAAAGGTCAAAGGTCAAGGTGGACATTGGGTTGGAGCCTACCATTGCTTATACAACTGAGGAAGATGATGAAGAGGTGAGAATTCCTGGTGTAATGGCAGTGTTCCCTCAGTCATGGAAAAATCCTGGAAATTCCAGGAAAATCCTGGAATTGTCATGGAAAAGTCATGGATGTTTGTTATTTTACAAGGAGTCATGAAAAGTTGATTAGCAACTGCTTAACATAATACAATTGCATTTGTGGTTACAGATATATTACCGGGGAAAAGTGGCTAATCCACTTAGCAGAAATTTCTGGAATTTGTAGTGAATGCTCATTTGCATTGCTCTGTATATAAATTATATCTAGTCAATGTTTTTGATGAAAACCGGCCAGCGTTTTTATAGACCTAATACGTCAAGGTCAGGGGGCAATGGTTTTGTAGCGCAGGGCTAGGCATGAGTGAACCTTTTCTGCGTTCATGGTTACTGAATTAAACAATCAAAGAACATTGTACGAGACATTGTAAATGAATTTTCTATTAACACAGCCAATTACTTACGTAGTTTCGTTTACGTTTCGACTAGTTTCACTAGTCATCCTCAGAACGAAGCACCACCAGTCGGTTGGTGGCGCTGTTTCCTGCTGCGGCCACTAGATGGTGGTCTGGCCACTTGTGTCCTCCCCCGGGGTGGTACTTGGGGTATGAGGGGGGCCCATATGTGTGACAGTTCATACCCTCCCTCATCTCTGTTAAGAGTTGATCGTCGTCTCCTTATCCATAGACTTTCCCGTATCTAACGTCTAAATTTGTCGCCCTCCCTGCGCAAGATTTCACTATCTGTCCAATTCATCACATGATTGTTGTCTCTAGCGTGTTCTGACCCCCTCATACCCCAAGTACCACCCCGGGGGAGGACACAAGGGGCCAGACCACCATCTAGTGGCCGCAGCAAGAAACAGCGCCACCAACCGACTGGTGGTGCTTCGTTCTGAGGATGACTAGTGAAACTAGTCGAAACGTAAACAAAACTACGTAAGTAATTGGCTGTGTTAATAGAAAATTCATTTACAAAGTTGAAAATTCACCAGCCTGATGAACTTCTTTCATGATTGTATGAGCCACCCGCAGCACATAAGGTCTATTATCTGTTATTGTTCCTGAAACTTTTTGTATTATTCTTTCTTTCCTTTTTTCGTTATTTCAAACACAGGACATGGATGTATCTGCCTTAGCCATAGCTGAAGCGCAGGCCTACACTACAACGGATTCCGATTTGGATGAAGAGCAACCCAAGCCAAATACGGGCAGGAGGAGACAGCAGACGGCCAGAGAGCAAGCAACGGTGTTTTCAGATGCGCCGACACTAGCCTACGATGATATCAAAGAAGATTTGGCGTCCGGACAGCCCAAAGCAGGTCTCGGTGACGAAGGGTCGTCAGATGCCGGGTACGGTCCGTGCGACGAGGCCACACTTGCGTACAACGATGATGACGAGGATGACGCCACGGATACCGGGATGCCATTGGATGAGGGAGAGGAGAGAATGATGGGATACGCGGAGATGGAAACCCAACCGGCTGGGAAAGAATCAGGTACCGACATGGACATCAGACTGACAGTAAATGAGAGATTACCCTTTCCTTTAACCCTAACCCTCTTGGCCCGTTTGCAAGGAACCATCCTCAATCCTCCAAAATCCTCCAAAATTTTGCACTTACATGTATATTCAAATGAAGGATACTCATGACCTCAATCCTTCAAAATCCTCCAACAGCCCTGCCTCTCGAATTTTCTTGTCTTGTGTACAGATATTGCAGGCCAACCAGACGTCCCGACCCTCCAGTACAACACCACTGAAGATGAAGACGACACAACAGCCGCCACACAGGCCTACGGGGTGGACAAGGACGAGGACGAAACCCCAGACATCCACAGTCATCCAGACGCCCCAACACTCCAATACAACACTACAGAAGACGAAGACGACACAACGGCCGCCACGCAGGCCTATGGCACAGACGACACAGACGACGATACACTGGACATCATCACTAATCCCTCCACCTCCTTGGGTCACGTGACCCAGCCGGCCAATCAAAATGGAGGACAGAAAGAGACATCAGCAGGTCCGAGCATTGCCGGGACAAAACCAGGAGGTAACCGCGGAGACGGATTGGAGGAAACGGTAAGCAGTGCGTCCAATTTCCAAAGATTGTTTTTATGGCGTCGCCTTTTTGAAAGAGTTGTCAATTTTTTTCCCTATAATTTTTGTATACTACAGTGAAATCTCGATATCTCAAACCTCAAGGGAACAGGTTCAAAATTTGACTTAGGCAGAGTTTTGAGTTAAGCAGGGTTGTATATCATTGTTATACTACTGAAGGGAATGGATTCTTTGTTTGGCTTAACAGTTGTTTTGAGTTATCAGAGTTTGACTAAATCGAGATTTCACTGTATCTAATGTAGACCTTTCGAGTTGCCATGACCTACATGTCAATTCCAGCAGATTTTAAATTTGCGTCCGCTTTGAAACCAACCTAGATGAGCCAACTGACTGATCCTTAGGAATCACCTACATTTCAAGATTTCTTCCAAATGACGGCAAGCCAGATGGAATAATTTCACAGGGCGTTTAGCACCAGTATGATCTTTAACCCTCCTCTTGTATAAGAGGTCACCAATGGTCAAACTTTTCTTCCTCGCCTACTGTGTACAACCCAATGGGGGTCTTGACCAATATTGACCCAAGTAATAACCAGGCTGACAATGCATGTTTCCATTGGAGGGTTAATCCAAGTAAGCTTTTTTTGAAAATAATAATTCAGTTGGTTACTTTGGGATAAATGCAAATGATCCTACGGTATATGCCTTTTAAAGAAGACCTCCTTTGTTTGATTTCAGCAAGTACCCGACAGCCAAGACGGAGCAGTCGACGAGATGCAACCCCTCGTCGGCATGTCTCGCATCTCCTCCATGCTGCGCAAGGTGCCTGTCCGCTCCGCCATGGCCAGCCCAGAGAAGAAACACCCTCAGAGAACACGCAGGGTCGCCTTCAAGGAACAGGTAGATGACTACACCACTGTACAAAAAACACCACCTAACCAATCACAGTCTGGGGAAATAAATAGATGGATTGCATTCAGTAGCTAGCCTTGAGGTGTGCTTTGTCATGTCAATTCGTCACCGTCACCACGAACTGACACTCACGCGCGCATGAGTGCGCTGCACGAACCAACATCCTCCACAGTGCGGCACTTTTAGAGCGCACCCCATACATTTTCGTTTTCACAAACTGACACCCAAGCTTGATGCGTTAATACAGAACGGAGAAAAAAGGTTTGACACGAATTTAATCTATCCGTGTGCTTGTGTGGTTATACAAATTTTTAATTAAAAAGCGTTTCAATTGGTAAAATTAAGATCAGTGTCAGTTCGTGAAACCGAAAATGCACGGGGTGCGCTCTAAAAGTGCAGCTCTCTGGAGGATGTCAGTTCGTGAAACCCAAAATATCACGGTTCTGTAAATACGCGTGTGTGCAGTGCACTCACGCACGCGTGAGTGTCAGTTTGTGGTGACGGTGACGAATTTGTTCACAATGAATGCACAAGAGGTCCACTCATGCGTACCCCCGTTAACCCTATTAACCGCCCTGAATCCTCCAAAATCCTTTTTGCAAATTGGAGGAATTTGCAGGATTGAGCTTACATGGCCAAAGTGCGTTGCTGATTTCGGAGTACGCACTGTGTCAAGGTCTTGGGCCGGACCTTGTGTTGTTTATGCTCAGCTGTGCATAATTTAGTCCTTGATTATACTTGACATCCTCCGCACTGCTCCAGGATGTCACTGCCTCTGCCTCAGCCTATTGACAGTCATAGCCGGAGGATTTTGCAGGATTCAGGCAGTGGTCACCCCTCCATGGACCATATTCAAGAAACAACGGAGGAATTTCCAGGAATGAGGCTATATGCTATTTTTCCATGAGGCCAATTGGAGGATTTTGCAGGATTGAGGCTACATCCTAGCAAAAAGGCCTAGGGAGTTAGGGTTAAACAAAAGCACACACCTCCAAGATGGCTGCAGTGCAAACAGTCTATAGGTTCAGTCTATATAAATTAGGCCTGGGCGAGCAGTGGATCTTTTTACTCGAGTACTGACACAGAAATGTCTTGCGAGTAGTCGAGTACTCACGAGTAGTTAACCGAATTCCCATGAAAGCAGAAAAATGGCATGTACGTTAGTATGATGGGAAGTACCTACAAGCAAATAGCGAGCACCACTTCAACGTTAAATGTCTTCTATTGTAAATATGTACTTTGTTGTAATACATGTAGCTGCTAGATATGTTTTGTTGTTCTCCTATTTCAGACACCACCAGAGGAAGCCGCTTCTGAAGAAGTGAATCCTCCCTCTCGGAAATCGGCCCGCGGCAGGAAAGCCCCAGCCAGGTTTCGAGAAGAGACTCCAACAAGCTCAGTCACGGAGACCGATGCCAAGCCCACGCGCAGGAAGTCCAAAGAGTTCCGCTCAGCTCCGGGAGAGGAGGAAGCATCCGATGTGGCAAAGCCCAAAAAGGCTGCCAAGGGGAAGCAGAAGGGTAGCAAGGATGTCCTGGAAGGCAGCAAGGATGTCCTAGCAACCCAGGGCAAGCTGGCTGATGGGGATTCCGAGGAGGATACTCTGGAGTTGCAGGAAGGCAGTGACATGGTCTGGACGTCCGTCGGTGGGTTCCAGCTGATCGAGGCCAACAACAATGAGACAGAGCCGAAGGGGAAAGCTCCCGCTCGAAGGACCTCAAGGAGGCAGGCCAGCTACAAGAAGGCTGTGGAGGGACATGACTCGGATGACACAGAGTCCATGTCCTCGACATCCAGCTTGCAAGTGGAGGTGGGAGACCTTTCTGGGAGCGCAGTCCAGGTCCAAGTGACGGTTTGTGATGGGAAGCAGAGTGAGGATGCATCGAAGCCACGTAGAGGGAGGAGAAGCAACACTGGGAAAGCTGCAGGGACATCGTCAGGAAGAGCGGAGAAGCTTGCCAAGGAGGTTGATGAGCCTTCTCCCGAAAGCAGCAGACAACCTGCAACAACTTCAGGAAGGAGGCAATCCAGGCGGTCAGCTGTGATAAAGAGCGATGTAGCCGAAACCCTTCCAAAGCCAATAACAAAAGTGGGTAGAGGTCAGCACAACCAACAATCCACTGATGTTCCTAAACAGGACCAAAAGAGCAAAGAGGATATCGCCAATTTAACCCAACCATCTCGTGACCACAAAAATGTCACAGGGAGTGAAACCAAAGAAATCACCGCACCAGCCAGGAGGGGCAGAAAACCCAAATCGGCAGCCACGCCACAGACGAAGGGACCCAAGCAATCCTCCATTACAGACTTCACTGTCGCCGTTGCAGAAGACAAGGTTGGATCGAGAAGTCATCCTGAAGAAAGCAGTTCCATATCAGAAAATAAAACCGACAGCCTGGAATCAAATGATAGCCCTTCTTTACTTCCGTCTAACTTAAAACCAGCAAAGACGTCAGCACCGTCTAGTCATAAAAAACAAACTACGCCGCAGACCAAATCAAAGTCACCTGATACAGCATCTCAAAAACAGGATGCATTCGTGGCCCCAGAGCCAGTTAAAAGAGGGGGACGTCCCCGAAAAGGAGCTAAGCAAGACGAAGGTCAGAGGTCAACAGAATCTCCCCCTGTGACCTCTCAGCCTCAGACAGCGACTTCAGACAAGGCAGAAACTGCCACGCAGGGGAGAAGCAAGAAGAAGGGAAGAAACTCGGGGACGATGGAAACACCTCAAAAAGAAGAGGTAAGGAGGTTTTTTATTTTTCAGGGGGAAACCACAGAGCACTATTTTTTTCATTCCTTCATGAAGTATACTTTTGAACACGTCAAGGGCACAGACATTTTAAATGCGAAAGCGTGATTGTGCAAAATATTGAAAGAGAGGAGATGCAATTTCAGCGGTGAATTCTGAATGTAAAGCGAGAGTACCTGGTACAACGAAAGCAGCCGCAGAGATGTGGTTTCCCAAAGAATAAAAATCGTCAGAAGAACTTATACGCATGAGTGTAAGTTCATTTGTGCACAGTGAAATCATACCCACATTTGTGATAATTTTAGATTTTGATTTGAAAGGCTGCTTTATTATGATACTTGAAAGTTTTGTATTTGAAAGTGTGAAAAAAGGGCCATCAACACGGTTGATTGTTTTTTTCGCAGTGCATGAAATGTATTCTTTCATTTATCAAACGAAAAAGTTATTGTTGAGTAAATAAAAAATAAAGACATATAGTAATAATAATATAATATTGTAATAATTGTAAAGGAATGTCAATAAAAATTCATTTGAATATTCATGAACACAAATTCATTTGGCATATTTGAACAGCAACCGGCAGCCACACCTACAAGTAATAGGCGCGGTAAGAGGGCGGGGCCCGCCCAAACCACGCCCAGCCCAACACCGACCAAGAAGCGCAAAGACCCAGAGACGCCCGAGAGCGAAGTCTCCAGTCCATCGCTACGGAAACGACCCAGTGAAACCAAGCCCAAGGTTATGTTCACCGGGGTCGTAAATAAAACTTGGGAGAAGGTGAGATTTTTTTACAATGTTAAATTTTTTATATTATTTTTTTACAAATTACACTTTAAAGCTTCTCACCAATGCTCTTCGACACAGGCCTATTCCATTTTTTTCTTCCAACCACTTTGTTATTTTTTATTTAAGGGCAAATTTCAGCGTTCTGAAAGAAAATGTTAAGTCCGTTACAGAGCCAGTTAACTATATCTAATTGATGCAAAGCAATGATTCAAAAGTCCTGGCAGTCTTTCAAGTATTCCTACTTTTTCCTAGTTTGTGTTTATTTTACTCCTACTTTTCCTACCTTTTCTTGAAATTCTTACTTTGTCCTACTTATTTGTCCCACAACTCTGACAAATGAAATCGTGGGAGATGACAATTTGCACACGATGCACACAAAGCATACACAGTTGTCCAAGCCAGATATTTGGGGGTTTTGGGGGCAGTGGCGTAGCCAGGAATTTTTCAGTGGGGGGGGGGCTGGAACATTTCATGGGGGGGCGTCATGTAGATCAATGATAATTTTTTTAGAAACTCAAAATCTCAGTGGGGGGGGGGGGGCGACTGGGGGGGCGACAAGGTTTCATGGGGGGGGGGGCTGTCGCCCCCCACGCCCCCCGTGGCTACGCCACTGTTTGGGGGTAAGTTTGAGTCGGTTTTGGCTTGAGTTTTGTCGGGTTGGGTTGAGTCGGCTTTGGGGAGTTCACATCGGTTTTGGTTCCGATTTTGTACCGGTGTAATGTTTCGGATCGGTTTGGCCTGGTCAACCTGATCCGATGCACAACATTACTCTGGGAGGACATAGCTTTTACACAGGTCTTTCTGTTTGTGTCATTTGTCACGTTCATTTTGTTTTGGTTCTCTCACAGATCGTAACAAGTCTAGGAGGCGAATTGGTAGAATCCGTTTTTGACTGCACTCATCTGGTCACAGATAAGGTATTTAAGATAATAAGAATAACAATCATTGTAATAGTCAACTATTACTACCCCTATAAGATTTGAGGCTTTGCATGGTGGGGTATCGGTATCGTTTCGGTTTTGCGGTAACACCATGTGGTAATAACTACTGCTTAGAAGATATTAGTTCTGAGAAGAACTTGTCCTGCTTATTATCAACTTGCTAAGTAGTTTTTGTTCTGTTTAGAACAGTCCTGCTGTAAGTTCTAAAAGAACTTGCTCTAGTCATCGACAGTCTCCTGACGATGACTAGAGCAGGCTAGTCGAAACGTTGAGACCAAAGACAAGTTCTTTTAGAACTTACAGCAGGACTGTTCTAAACAGAACAAAAACTACTTAGCAAGTTGATAATAAGCAGGACAAGTTCTTCTCAGAACTAATATCTTCTAAGCAGTAGTTATTACCACATGGTGTTACCGCAAAACCGAAACGATATTACTACCCCTGCCCATCAGGCCTGTAAAGCATTCCTGAGACCACCTGACCTTTATACTGTTACAAACGGTGCGGGTGGAACAGCGGATAATGTAGAGTGTCTGTGTCCCTTAATGCCATGAGGCCAAAGGCCTGGTTGCACATGGGACACAGACACTTTACATTTTCCGTGTTCCACAAGTGCGAGTGGGATAACAAATCTATCTTCAAGGAAAGTTGATGCACAGTAAAGATGGAAGATGCACGCTGTACACAACCTTTTCAACGGCTATCTTATTACACACGCACGCTGTAGAAATGGCGTGCGCATCTTAGAACAGCGCAATACGGACCGCGATCTAATATAAGTTATCCTGCGAGCGCGAGTGGAACACGGAATAATGTAGTGCGTCTGTGTCCCACTGTGGGACACAGACGCACTACATTTTCCGTGTTCCACGAGCGCGAGCCTGATAACGAATTTATCTTTAAGCAAACTTGACGCGCAGTAAAGTTGGACCATCGCTTTACACGAACCTTTTAGCGATTTAGCGCATGCAGCTGGAATGTCGCTCGCATCTTGGAATAGCGCAATACGCAGGGTGCGATATGTACCGTGCAATACAGCCTCATATCGCACTGTTGTTGCCATGGATCGACCAATCGGGATCGAGGATTCAACTTGACTACAGTTTGAATGGTAAAATGACTAACAGATTAACAAATTTATTGAAGCAGTTTAATAACTTAACTTAAATCTACAAAAATGATGATTGTAAAAATGTGATTTTTGAGCTGTTGCAGTTTCTAATCTTGCATTATTAAATTGTAAAGACAACTCTTTATATCCTCAAATGGCATCATAACAGCACCCTCTATTGTTCCTATTTGTCTTACCATGCACCAGAATTTCCAATCCGAATTTCCAATTTCATACCTACTGGTTTCTTCTTCTTGTTGACAGGTCCGTCGCACTGTCAAGTTCTTGTGCTGTCTATCCAGGGGCGCCTTGATCATCGCTCCTAAGTGGCTGGACCAGTGCCAACTGCACAAAACGTTTGTCGGTAAGTCAGAGATGTAGTCAAGTCCTCACAAGTCCATCATAAGTCAATCTTAAGTCCATCATAAGTCAATCTTCAGCCAATCAGAAGTCAATCGCAATTCATCTCGTCTCAAATGAAGTGGCAAGCTATTCACGATAAAAAGTTATTCCTGTGTTCATCCTCTGTTCCTTGTGACTTGTGATAGACTCGTGATGGATTTGTAATTTGACTTGTGATGGAGTTGTTATTTAACTAGTGATGGACTTGCGATTTGACTTGTGATCTACTTGTGATTCGACTTCTGATTTAATATGATCAACTTGTGTTTTGGACTTGAGACAGACTTGTAATTGGCTTGTGATTTGACTAGTGATTGACTTTTGGTGGAATTACGATTGACTTATGATTGAATTGTGATTTAAGTTGTGAAGGATTTGGCTATAACTCAGTAGTGAGTTACTGGGTTGTATGAACGTTAATCGTGTGAACATTTCATTTTTCCCATTTTTTATGTAACTGTGCTTCTTTGCAGCCCGTAGTTTGTTGCAACTTTGGTCATAGATGATCTTGTTTATTTGTCTTGTGTCTGAAAAGTGTATTTCTGTATAAAATCAAGTCTAATTTAAAGTCACTAAAACCTATTTTTCATTATGATTTACCATCCCTACAAATATTCAAAATTCTCAAAACGGCTTAGAATATTTAAAGATGCGTGCCCCGTGCCCTTCAAAACATAGATATTTTGTCTCCTAGCGCATTATCAATTTGTATGTATTTCTTATAAAAACAAACAAACTTAATTCCCAATTATTTGGCATATGTGCAACCCTCATATTGGTACCTGTGAGGGCAGAGATGGTTTATTGTAGTTGATTTAGCTTCCTTCCTTGCAACCTAAAGGCAGCATTGAGTTGTATACTCCACAGGTAGCTGAGAAGGTTTCAGGACTGTTTGCCCGTTAAAACAGGGAAAATAATTATTGTAAAGCACTTTGATACCCTGTTGCGACGTAAAAGGGCTTTAATTTTGCGCTAAGAAATGAACCCGCCCTTTGAGAGCTGAATTATTGTCTGGCAGCTTAGAATTTGAATTTTGTGGAGAAATAATTCAGTAACTGAACTTCTGTTGATTTTTTTCGTTCAATGTCTCACCGAAAAGTGCGTAACTTTCATGTTGCTGGGAAAACAGCAATTAAAAATACAAATCTATATTTGAAGTGAAAATCAAAAATAGCACAGGGAGTGCATCTTTAATAGTGAGGGTAATTTTAACCACAAATATAAATCCTTTTCCCCTCATTTTGTTTCCTTTACAGACCCTTCCCCGTATCTGCTGCAGGACAAAGCTGCCGAGAAGCAGTACAGCTTCAGTCATGTGACCTCTCACCAGAGGGCGCTGCAGGGAGGCGCTCTGGGCGCGCTCAGTGTCTTTGTGACGGCCAACGTCAAACCAGAGCCAGCGCAGATGAAAGAGATTATACAGAGTGCTGGGGGGAAAGTAAGTCGAGAAAAATTTCACCTCTTCTTCATTCAACCATAAAGATAAAGTTTATGTGCTGTTCAATTTGATTGATTTTGTTTTCTCCTAACGAATTTTCAATTTGTAAAATAAAACAGAAAGGGACACTGACTAGGTGCATATATAGTCATTATAAAAATTGAACAAAGAAATTGGTTGGCACTGGGTTTGAACCTGCGACCTCTGGATTGCCGTTCCGGTGCTCTACCAACTGAGATATCCAGCCCTGTGTTGGTGGTTCCCCAATTTGTCTTTGTTTTCCAATTTGAAATTTTTATTTTTACAATTTTCTTTTTTATTATTGTCGGCATCGGCAGTTCTCTGATGCCTCTCTACTGCAAAAAAGATACTCCTGAGTTATTGTTTAAACGCAAATAATTAGGAATTATGTACTGATTCCATAACTTAATATTGAACAGATGTTTCATTATTTAAAAGTGAATAACTTTGTGTTGCTAGAACGATAGCACCTCTTCTTTTTTTGGGGGGGGGGCGATGAAACTAGCACTGAGAGAACATCTATAAAATGTTGAAGGAAAGTAGTATTGTCTCAAATTATCAAAACTCTTTAGGCTGTTGATTAATTACTGGTTGTCTTTGCATAAAAAGATATGAGATCATTTCTGCAGACCAATCTAGACCACACAGTTGTACACTCCAGTAACGGCCCAAGAATAGTGCTGACGTTTGTTAACGTTTACAACATTTGTGCAAGTGGGACCTACTGGGTCTCAATTTTCTTTTTTGTGTCTTTCCCAGTGTCTGAGCATCATGCCTAAGAAACCAGACCCATCTACAATCATCGTATCATGCGATGCCGACGAAGCCAGGTGCCAACCGGCCATCAAGGCAGGCCTGCAGGTTGTCAGTGCCGAATTCATACTGACCGGCATGCTGAGACAGGAAACTAGACCAGAGCTATATCCTTTTGTTATAAATAATACTGGAGTCTTATGTAGCGCACGTATCTACCAACAATTAGGTACTCAAGGCGCTGGTAATTATGTATGTTTTAAAGACGGGTAAATGAAGTTTATGAGAAATAAGAGACCCATTACATAGCACCTTTATAAAGGGTATACAAGGTGCTGCGGTGCATATTGCAGCCACTGCCAGAAACACCGGGGCAAACCCCTTCTCTTAACGATAAGTGTTACTGGGTACTTTAATGTGCATTACACAACACACGGGACCTACAGCTTTACGTCCCATCCGAAGGACGAAGCAATAATGGTAAAGTGCCTTGCTCAAGAGCACAAGCACCATGTTCCCCGTCAGGATTCGAACCCAAGTACCACTGCACACGAGTCGAACACCGTAACCATTGGACCACAACACCCCATTGGACCACAATACTCTTGAAGAACGAAAGACGTTTTGAAAAAAAGGTCAGAAAAAGCCTGTACGACCATCAGTGTGAAATGATTTAACGTTAAATTCCTTAATGCGTTACACGTATCAGCTTTTTACCCCTTCGTCCACAAGCAGTGAGCCCAGTAGCAAACGCAAAGTCGGCGACACTCCATCAAGTAGCAAAAGAAGACGTTAAACCGTCGTCCTTTCTGGATAGGCTAGGTTTGAAATCCCGGAAACAAACAATATGCGGCCAAGCCTAGTAAAACTGGTCCCAGTACACACAAGATGGCGTCTGGACCCAATTTTATAGCGCTGCTTAAGAACCGATTTTGTGCTTACCGAGCCTCCATCTACTTCATAGAGACCGTAAGCAATAAGCACAGTTAAAGCACGTTTAACCCTAAAGGAAAAAAGTTGCTCAACTCAGTGACGTAACAATGGAAATCTCCATGCACGTGCAACTGTTGGCATGTCCACGCCATGAAATAGTGCTTAAGCAGCAGCATGATTTTCTGCTAACTGTTAAACAGCGCTATTAAATTGGGCCGTGGTCTACACAATCACAAGTGACAGTCAAGTGACCGACTCACAAGTAACAGTCAGTCAGGGAGTGTGTCACTCAGTCAGATACGTGCAAAGAGGACACAACATTTTACTCATTTGATTCAGAATGGTGTCTGATCTACATGATATGCAGGATTCAGCCCATTCAGTGCCATTATTAGTGATCCTATACAATAGTACTGCCCAGCTCACAAGTGACAGTCAGGCAGGGAGTGAGTCAGTCAGTCAGATACGTGCAAAGAGGACACAAGATTCTACTCACTTGATTCAGAATGGCGTCTGGTCTACACAATGGGCGGGATTTAGCCCATTCATTAACGTTACGGGTGATCCTACATGTATATGATAGCAATGCCCGGCGCACAGGTGACCGTCAGGCAGGCAGGGAGTGAGTCAATCAGTCAGATAGGTACATAGAGCACACAAGATTCTACTCACTTGATTCAGAATGGCGTCTGGTCTACACAATGGGCCGGGCTTCGCCCATTCATTGGCGTTACTGGGGATCCTATATGATGGCACTGCCCGGCTCACAAGTGACAGTCAGTCAGGCAGGGAGTGAGTCAATCGGTCAGAGAGGACACAAGATTCTACTAACTTGATTAAGAATGCCATCTGGTCTACACAATGGGCCAGATTCAGCCCATTCATTAGCGCTACGGGGAATCCTATACAATAGCACTGCCCGGCTCAAAAGTGACAGTCAGTCAGCCAGGGAGTGTGTCAGTCAGTCACATTGGTGCAAAGAGCACACAAGATTCTACTCAATTGATTCAACATGGCGTGTGGTCTACACAGTGGGCCGGATTCAGCCCAATCATTTGTGTAACGGGTGATCCTATACGATAGCACTGCCCAGCTCACAAGTGATAGTCGGTCAGTCAGCGAGTGAGTCAATCAGTGAGATAGGTACAAAGCAAAGAGGACACTAGACTGGCCCTCTGGGACCAGGGAAAAACCTTGACATCAAAAACCTTGACAGCAAAAACCTTGATAGCAAAAACCTTGACAGCAAAAACCTTGATAGCAAATTTAGTCTAGTGACTAAATAACTCAATTAAACCAGATGATATTATTTTAAAACATGTTTGTACAATTTAAATACTCACACATATGAAAGAGAGAATGGAAGGATCTCTTTCTTTGACTTAGTTTTATGCAGTATTTTTTGCTTAGTTTATGCAGAAGAACAAATTAGCCTGATTTAGGTGCGAAAAACAATTGGAAAAAAAACGTCTACTGAAATTGTAAATGTTGCTGCATTGTCTTAGTTTCTGTGGGATTGCAGATTCATTATCAACCGTTTTTGGTGCCTATTATATGTCACAAAATATAATGACAAGACCACATTCAGTTTTGAGTATGTAAACAACTACACCACAGTAATTCACTGAAAGGTTTTCCTCCGGTTAAATAAGAAATAAAACAGACAAAAGTAAACAAAAATCACTAAAATTCTACACTGTTTGTGATTAAAAAGTAATTATTTATAACAGTATACCGAAGGACTAACATCAGCATTTGTATGTCTTTTAAGTTTAGTGCAATTTAATGTGCCTTTGATTCCGTTAGCACAAGTTCAAACTGATCATATTTAAAGAAGTTGTGGAAAATAATGTCATTGCAAATTTGGGCGATCTTGTTGACTTAATTGAAAATTCAGGGCCTATTGATAGTTTTGTGGTATAATTTTCAAAAATTAAGTAATAAAAAGTGCCAAATAGGGTCAACTGGTGTTGCATTCCATATTCAGTAATAGTAATTCAGATAAAGTAATATTAATTTGACCGCCACATCTTAGTAAAGGCTTGAAAAACATAATCTTTTTCCAATAGCAACATTAAACTAGATCATAATGATTTATTAGATTTTGGATTTATGGACTTCAGTAATTAGTTGTCATTCAGTGCCTTATTTTTAATATTTCGTCCGAGAAAAAAAATGTCTGTCTAAAAGAAAATGTGAGTATTTCTTTTATTCTTAAGTTCACCAACGAAACTATTTTTTGGCAATTGTAAACCATCCTTTGATGATTTTGATAACTTATATTGTGTCACTATTTATGAAATGAATCGATGCTTTAATTTCTTTTTCAGTTCTTTATATATAAAAGCAAGCTGTTTCAAGTGATATGATACATGTCGTGGCGGTCTATAAATATTTGATGTTGACAAAATTGAAATTAAAAAATTGGGATTTTTTCGTTTGTTGCATTTTGGTGTAACTACTATTAATAAAAGGCGCGGACGGGACACAAAAGTTTACCCGAAGCGGACCGTAACGAATTTTAAGTCGGGCACGAAAATGTTCAAATTTATCTTTCTGTGCTTTTCGAAATATTCGATTTTGGTTTTTTTTATCCAACGAATTTTCAAACTTCATGTTAAAATGCTACGTATACTTTATTCTGTGTTGGCTGTTCTCAATCCTCTGAAAATATGCTTTTGCGCCCATGACGCACAAAAAGATACGCCTGAATTATCGTGGGGCCGCAAATATAAGCGAAAGTTGTGATAAAGCTATATGGACGTGACCATAAATTTCACTGACGCTTCTGCAAATTTACTTTTTATTTGCAAATATATGCACAGTCTGTTGGAGACGCGCAGATGCATAAATGGTAGTCTTCGTACTCGGTCAACACACATTTTTAATTGAACGTTCTAATAATTGAATGACAACAGCAGTGCATCCTCATGCCGGTGCAAGGCGTTAAAGGCATAGGATCATTTGCTGTCCATGCGTTTTGTTAGTATATATTTATAACACCACTCAAAATTCAAAGAAGAAAATTCAAAACTGTCCACCCTCAAACCATGCTATATTTGTATACTGTATCATATAGTCGGCAAAGCATCCCAAGGGAAACGTCACACCAACTTGTTGTGCATGTCGTGTGGGACTTCGCCAAATGATCATCACCCGGAAATTATTTTTTACATAACGTTTCCCATTTTTTTTTGGCGAATTTCTTCCTTGAATGAGTTTAGTGATGTTGGCGTTGCACATGCTGCAGACGACGGTATTTTGTTCCAATCCTTACTACACTGCAAAAACTGTAGTGTTAATTTAACACCATTCGGTATCTATATAGGACAACACCAGTAAAATTTAACACCAGATGGTCCTATATAGATACCAATGGTGTAGATTTAACACTCCAGTTTTTGCAGTGTAGTTCTTGGGAAGAAACTGTTTTCAAATGCCCTGGTGCGAGTACGAATTTGTTTAAACTGCTGTGAGTTTCCTCTAGTCTACCTTGCATTTGGAGTCAAGTAGATGTCTGCCGGTATAACAACCAGCCCCTTTATTATCTTGTATATCATGAATAATCTTTTGGCTTTTCTTTGTGCCTTCAGAGGGTATTTGGGATGTGCCAATGCTCACTGTACTGTGGTTTTCTCGTTTAATCAGTAGGTACCCTTCCTGGTAACCCATTAAAGTCCAGACACTCTAAAAAAAAAAAAGGCAAACGGGAGCTTATTAAGAGATTTAGCCGCTTTAAACCCCTACCTGCTTTCTGGGTTTTATGGGGGGCGCAAAACCATTCTACGCGGCCCAAATTGATCGAGTACATTTGTATGCATGACTATCGATTATCCCTTGTATAGAATGAAAGAGCTACGCCAAAGAAAAGTTAGCGCCTGAAAGAGAGACTATGCATGTACAAAATGCAGTATGCAACGTGCATGATTGTCGCGTGCATGTACATGTAGGTAGGGGCGCACACATCGTGTCGGTCTATCAATAGATCGATAAAATACACAATACTATTTCCATCACAAAGGGCTAGGATGTCCAACAGGGCGATATTTTCAATAGTGACTCCGGTGAAACGGCTCATATCGGCGCATCGACAATGACTTGTACGCCATACAATGAGACGAAGGGTTATGGGTTGCTTGCGTTGTTGCGAAGCGGATTTGTATTCAGGTGGAAATTTGTTGGGCAACAAATTTCGGTAACAATCTGATCCGGCTGAAGCGTGTTACGCCTGGGAGCTTAACCCGTGTCTGGATCAGTGGCAATCGGGGAGAAAATTGGAGCTAAGGCAGTCAACCCTGACGTACGAAGGGGGAAAAGGGAACTGGACTTTCGGTGAATTATTTCATCTCCCACGAAGCTTCACAGTCTGTTGGCAACTTTCGGTGAAGGAAATTTGGAGTCGAATGTGAATGGGCTTTCCGTCTTTCCATGCGGAATCGGCGAGGATATTATACAACTGTACACTCAGTGGAAGGTATTTTATTCAATACGAAAAGACATCTTCCTACTCGGCGTTCCTCAATCCAGGATTGGTTATCGAGAACTTCGGAAGGGACATGGTGTTCCTGGTGTCCCTAAAACTTCTTGCCCGACAGTTTCTGGCCAATCTCCATAGCTACTGTGGACGCCGCACCGGAATTTTGTTTGTCAGTGCCTATTGACAAGTCGGGGGACCAGGGCCGTTGTAAGTACTAGTACAAACATAACTGTTGTACTTAATTAGGAGAGAGAAATCGCACGGTCATCAACTGAACTCCGAAATAAAAGAAGGAATATGGATTCAAAATACATGTAGTAGGAATTCAAGTAAACGATCGCACAAATGATGCCAGGTGTTTAAGCACCCAATAACCGATACGATCTCGTATACCAGACCCTGGGAGTGTTCTTGGACAAACATAAATATTGTTGGTTGCGATGACTTCAAATAGCAGGAAATTACAGTGACCTCGCACGTTGATTCTTCATATTAACGGCCATAATTGGTTAATGGCAGCCATTTTTTTTTAACGAGACAGTTATTACGAGGTGTCGGCTGAGGAAATGGACTTTGAATTTCACTTGTGGGTCGTGGGCAGTGTACTTTAATGCAGGTGCGATAAAGTGCTCGCATTGAACTCGATTAGGAAGCGAGCTTTGACTAGGAACGCAGATGCTCATTTCGGGACTGGACTGTGGAATGGACGGTTTCGCTCTGCAGCGATCAACATGACTGTAGGAGTCTCTTAATACTAGGATGATATTTACAACAGTTTTGTAATGGAGGAAGAAGGGAGTAAGCCAGCAGTGATGGAACCGGGGCAGACAGCGACTTCCCCAGGCGAAGCTGGAGTAGAGAGGAAGGCTTCAGTGGAGTCTCGGACTCGGAAAAAGGTCACCTTTGATCTGGATTTACAGGTCCACACCATTCCCAACCGGATTCCTATCTACGAGCGACGACCAGCGGCCAGCACCGCTTACGCCCGGCCGCATCACCCGCTGGCGTTCGTCCCTCGCCCGCTGGACCTCGAGGGGAAAGACCGGTATCTGTTGGGAGCCACCACGACTAAAAAGATAATCGACTTGTTCAGCCTCCCGAATGGGTTCCCGATGCCCCCGACTTCTGGGGCAAAGAGGGTCCGACCGCAAGGAGGGAGCGCCCAGGCTATGACCAACGCCAACAATCCGTACTACACTTTTGCCAATTTCAGGACGTCTAAGATCAGCCGTGCCGCTATGAACCTGAAGCAGATCACGGCGGCCCTAGGGGAGCATTTTGACTCCAGCGTTTACAAGGAGTGGGAGACCAGCAAGAGGGTGCAAGCTTCCTTGCCGACTTCCCCGTCGGCGGCTTCGAGGCACGGGGCAAGGAGCGCCGCCAGCATCGTGAACGAATTGGGCGTGTCCCAGACCCGGAGAGTGGGCGGTGGGAACGCCATTGCGGCGTTCAGCCCGTCCAGGTTGAGAATCAATCACCACCAACAGCTGCCGGCCGGAGCGCAGTACCCGAAGCCGAATTTATCTCCAACTCCACCGAGGGGACATTACCCAGCTCACGGTGCCCACTCGGAGGTCCCGCCATCGCCCACAGAGTCCTGGGATCGACAGAGACTGCCTTTAGTCACCAGCGAGCAGATGTCCCTCAACAGCAGATCCCAAGCTCCTAGGAAAAGATCTGTCGCCTCCGATTCACCTTTGTATCATCTCCGACGAGGGGGAAGCCCAACGGACAGTTCCCCGGTCGAAGGAGGAGCCATCGAGATGCCCGCGACGGTGCGAGATCGCCCGCCGTCCCGCTGCTCGACCATCGAGACCTACATCATCTCGGACATCCCCGGAGTGAAACCGAATCCTACCGGGGTTGGCCCGAGTAACGGCCCAAGGAGTGCCGGCCCCTCATCGGGACATCGGAGGGTGATTGTCGGTCCCAACTCACGCCCCGTCGCCTGGGAGGCAGGCATTGCAATACCCATTACTGAGCCCGTGCTGAACGTCTCTGCTATACGGACGTCGCCCACAGCTCAGGATGCTGGCAACTTGGTGCAATGGCAGGTCACGTCTAGACCACCTAATTTATCGACATGATTTTGGATGAAGTTGTTAATTTTTATCAATTTATTTTTCTCGTTTTAATTAGTATTGAACATTGAAACTGTATACTATGTAACCTTAAACTTATCATGTACACATGTATCTGTATGTGAAAGGCAGCTGAAACCCTGACAAAATTATCACATGACCATACTTTGAAATTGTACACCATTTTGTAGGCTATTTGTAACATCGCAGTTACTGTGTTGAATTTTACATGATCTGTTTGCCATTTACACTTTAAACATTGTGACAGGTCCGACAACAACCAGTTTTCAAATCTGTCTGCTCATGTTATATTTTGTTGCGGGTTGAGCTGTATAGGATTATCTCGCGCGAGAAGAAAACAAGTCCATGGGATGTTGATAAGTTGACATATATCACGGACCATGGTCCGTTCCTAATATAAGCCAGTTCAGTATTCGAAAATAAACTGGTGCACAGCAAGATTCCACGATTTTTTTCGGGATAACCACGGCAGATAAATGCACACAAGGCTATGGGGGACGTGGTAACAAAATCTGCATTCTGTGCAATTTTTCGTGCAATCGAAAAGAGATGGAAATGACACACAAGACACCTAAAAACACTTCGCTGTACAAAGGCTTTTTGCAAAATGTTATACTTCAGAACACGATGATCTCCTCAATATTGCTGGTACCCCGCTGTGCTTTTGCACGCATACGATGAAATGTTTATCCCGAAAGAAAAATCGGCAAATCTTGATGTGAACATGTGTAGTTGGAATACCGAACTCGCTTATTAAGTCAGTCTTCTGTTGGCATAATAAACTATCATGAACAAGCAATTTCTGAACCAAAGATATTTTCGCTATTTTTCCTCTGAAAAAACAGTTTGCGGCAGAATTTGCGTTCGGCTTGAACGAGCAATTCACTGTGTCAGACCTTGAATGAATACTATACCGTCAATCAAAGTTGCCCTTGATTCTCTCAAGTATTTTTATCGCCATGGATTTGCCTCAGCATGAACAGAAAAATCCTGTCTTTGCATTCCAGATATTGTTAAGTGCCACAAAGGTATCTGCGTGAAAAGTTTTAATCTTAAGGGTATATAAAGGTCACGAAGACGTCAATGACATATTAATCCAAACTACATTATATTGCCAATGCCATGCACTTCCATAAGGTTCAAATGATCATGAAATGCACTTTTCTTAGGAACACG